ATGTAGGCTACATGATGATACATAATTTGCCTGTCAGTGTTATGATGTTGTATATTAATATAATCTTGGATTATAATTACTGATGCATAGAATGTGGTAGCAGCAGTACTTTAAGGTTGCCAGCCACAATGCTTAAATAGTTTCTTTCTGCTTCAGAGAGCTGGGTTGCGGTCGAATAGTCCAAAAATCAGCTCCTATCGTCTATCCCTATCGTCTATTCCTTGACCTCTGTGTGAAACGTCACAGGGTTAAGGAATAGTGGATAGGAGAATTCAAAAGGATTTAGGAGAAGAGACTGCGGTGCTTTGAGAATCCGACTGCACTTTCACTATCCAACGTATTTATGATGCGCCAGCGGACGTCATAAATGTGCATCTGCTGCTGTGGGGAAACTACAGTTTTCTATACAGCGGACTACATGGATGTATAATAAGAACGACGGACTACTGTAAACTCATCTAGAGACTCTACACCGTGCTCTGATGCTCTTGTTTTATGCTTTATGAACGTGGACAACAGAGAAACATATTCTTCATGACCAAAGTTGGAATTGAAATAAAAAAGGGAAGTGAAACTTATGCTCGTCACCCTCTCACTCCGGTCCACATTATTACAAATGATCCCAATAAGTGTTATTGTATGAAAAGATCTTAAAATAAATACAAATGTATTTATTAAAAACGTTAGTCCTTAACATCTATCACTGTGTATATCACCATTCAAACATCTTTTAAAAGTTTAACAAACCCCACACAGCTCAGTAAAGACTGTGAAATGTTGACTTTATTTGATCATTTCAGTAAAAACTAACGTTCATATTTCTCTTTTTGATTATAATACTGATGAACGTTCAAAATAAAGCACTTAGGCAACTTACCACATACGTTTTAAAATGCTTAATAAGCACCGTAACTTTCATGATATAATTTCTCGGTCATAATCGGTTGTTTCTGTGAACGGCCGACTGTTGTGTGATGGTAAATGCTGTGGCCGCAAGGCATTCAAGGCATTCTTTTCGTAAAGAAAGGTCCAGTGATAAGCTAAAGGAGGTTATAAAGGAAGTTTGAAACCTCCTTTCCTATCATCTAGAGAATTCGAACGGCTCTTATCATGGCTGCCACTGAGGTACTTCTGGGTAATTTCACTCCATTAGGAAGGTTCCTAAGCAAAACGGACTATTCGACCACAACCCTGAAGTTTGTATATATCACGCAGTCTGTCTTCCGGTTGCCTCTTTTGAATGACGAATACACACTACCACCGCCTGCTGGTAACTAGAGTTATTGCCACTCACGCATGCGCAGTTCGTACGTGCTACTTGGCCGTCGGCTGAAGTCTTTGCGGTGTGTTCTAGTGCGACTGTTGGCCAAGACGCAGGAGACGTGAGGCGACACAACAGTCGTGTTCTGTCGGGGCGTGTTCTTTGGTGTCAGCTTGATGTGTAGGGGCCTTTAAAGGTAGGGTAGATAATTCACTTCAGAAACACTTTTTGTTATATTCCATGGAATGCTCTTAACATCCTGATAGCAATGAATAAATTAAATGCTTTGACAATAAATATATACAAATATTTCATCTGTGGAAGCCGTGGCGCTATAAAAAGCAAGTCCAATTATCTGCCTCGGCCCGCGGCAGATAACTGGATGGCCTACCGGCCTGTCAGTCTTCCATCTCGTGCACAAACTTATCTCGTGCCCTCATTGGTCATGTGCACGTTCGTGTGTGTTGGAGAAGGGGCTCTGTAAAGAAGTCTGAAGGAAGGGGTAGATTTCTTTCGGTTGTGTACTTTCAAATTCTAGCTTACTCAAGCTGGTTTCTCCATTCTTACCTACCCTACCTGTTAAGCCCCACGGACCTGCCGAAGGGGCCGAAACCACAACATCTGCAAGCAACAGTGTCTGAGGGCTTCTTAAGATTTAATAAACTATGAATGTTTCATATCCATGTAACGGGAAAAAACTCAGCTAACTGAAAATGATATATATAACCATTTTTAACAAAAGAAAACACAAGACTAACGCTGAGCCTCTGAATTAGCCCTGAGCGAGAAAATGCTAACGCCGTTAGCACAGAACTCATGGTATAAAACCCTTATTACTTATCGTAAATGCACATCCAACCCATCGATTAGCATCGTGAGATTACACAGATTCGATAGGTATCATTATCATCGCGACATGATCAAAACGACGCGACATGAGAAACAAAAACAGACATCACAACACGTGGCATTAGGTAGCAAAAACGGCACATTTCTTACCTTAGCTGTTATTCTGATCAAAAGTTGTCTTCAATGGCATTAAAACGATAAAAACGCTGCTGAAGGTTAATCCATAGGTTAATCCAATGTGTCTGTGTCACTTTGAAATGATTCCTGATAATCCATCAGCAATAAACGTAGTTTTAAGTTTTCAGATTTCAGAGCGTAAGATCGGTTTCGCTTTGGGCAAACTGCGTGTGCATAGCTCTCATTTCTCAATGGTAACGTTGGTGTGTATGTGGAAATTCCCCTTCGATTCTATTGGCTCTAACGGTTCAAAAGAGATGTCAATCATCAAAATCGACCAATGGGTTCCAGAGAAACGGCAAATACACCCATTTCCACCCAAATGACCCCAGAGGTGGAATTTGTTTTGCTAAACCTCTCTAAAAAGGTGAAATGTCACTTGTTTTGCATCAATCTTGATACAGGGTACTTATTATATGTTGTACTTTGGATTCTTAAAGCTTTTAGTCTACTAACCCATCATCCAAGGGTGGTTTTCACTATAAGTAATTTTTTTTTTTTGGATGGACACAATAATTTTTTTACTATGTTCAATCTGAATTTTCTTTAAAATAAAAAACATCTATATTGATTCTGAATGTTCTACATCCAACTCACAGGTTTATCATTGCTTTATAAAGTGTAGTTATGGTCTGGAAATGTCATTTTCGAGCCTGAGACCTGAAAAACAGGCTTGGGGCTTAACTTAAAGTGGACCTATCATGCTATATTTAAATTATATATTGTAGGACCATACCTATATAAGGTATATTTATACGTTTCTGTTTTCAAAATACCAAACAGATCATGCATTTTAGCCATGCCTCATTTCTCTCTATGTGCTGTTTGCTGTCTACGGGTCTGATTCTGCTGACCACGCCCCCCTGCAGGAGAGGTGATCCATGCTCTGATCAGCTGCTGGGCTGTCAGAAGAGGGGGAGAAAAAGAGATCTCCGTCCTCCGTGTTTTATTATATAGAGTCGTTATTCATTTGTTTTAAAGCTCAATAAATAACAAAGAAGGCCTTTGACCGGCACTTTTCTAATTTTGTCCGGAAGATTTCAACTTTAACGGACATCTTGACCAGCGAAAGAAACTGAAACTGAAACTCTGCCGCACGGTCCCCTCGTTCCTTGGAAGAGGCGGAGAGGTGGGTGTTTGTCATCTGCTGGTGGACTAACCAGAGAGAATTACAGTGCTTGCCTCGACGGGGAGGGATTGCATTGAATTAAAGCAGCGGGAGCAAACGCTTGCCTCGGGGAGGGAGAAAAAAAGCCACAGCGGAGAATAAACAGAAGGGTAACCGTGGTAACTATGGGCGGGAAGTCTTCTTTGCTGCTTTTGTGGCAGACTACAGCGCCACTTACAGGCCTGGCATATGTACTACAGCGTCTCCAGCGCTTTCGAGCGGCAATGGCCGGCCGTGGCCCAACCCCACATTCCCCTGATAGGTGGAGAGTTGGCCCAATAGCCGTAGCGCCACTTCTGTGACGACATAGAAGTGTTCAAATCTGGATCAGGCTGTATCAGATCCGTTGCAGCTCCTTTTTTTAGAGATTTGGGTATGGAGGAAAATAGAGAGGGTTGTGTTTTCTGATACTTGGTGAGTTCCCTGGAACACCGGGGACACATATTCATGTATAAAAGACGTACAAAAGTGCATTTTGCATGATAGGTCCCCTTTAAGGTTGGCTGTAATTCACCTTAAACAACAGTACGTAAGATGACGTAGTTTTTGCAAATTATCCCCCATACAGTGCAATTTAGACATACACCAGTCACACGAAAAAAAATGTTTTGACATGACTTATGAATGATAAAAAAATAGAGGGTGACAACTTTTTTACACTGCTAAACATCAATCAAGTGCAACTAAAATAGACAAGGCAGCTAACTGTGCTAAAAGCTAGCTAGCTAACGGCAGCTAGGCCTTATACTAGCAGCAGATAGCAATAACAAGTTAAGCCTTATGTTTATCTGGAAACTCCATGAATCAGAAAGACTCAAAGGCAGAGCTGCCAAATAATATCAGAGGACAAAACTTCAGTAACTCTGAAATCAACATAGTAGAACAAACGTTACGCACTTCTTCCTGGAGATCTTACGACCCAATCAGTGAGGTTGCATGCTGTGCAAGATAAGGTGTCTGGAGAGGCATTAACTTTATTATAAGTTAATGTAGCATTCAAATAAGTATTTTTTGACTAAGACTATAAGTTGTTAATGTTGCTTTAGCGGTCAGGACTTTAGAGACATCAATAACTTCTCAGGTAAAAATTGTTTTATTTTTAACTGGTTGCTTTGTTGAAATAATGCAAATGTATTTTTTGTGTTCAGTAAAAAACAGCAAATGAGAAGATGACGCTGCAGCAACTGAGAAGATGAAGCTGCATGTCACAGTTGTTGTTGCATTTTTAAAGCGCAGTGAGGGAGTTTAGTGTTTCTTTCTCTCTATAATTAGCTGGAGTCTCGGAACGTGTTAATTAGATCACTGTATACTAACACACACTCTGTTACTCCCTCACAATATGAATATGGACAATATACATGCATATTATATTGACACTGAACCACTGTTATGATATCATCTTACAATCCCCTGGGTGAGTCACATGACCCCTGTTAGGGTGAGAGAGGGGGGGTCAAACGCTTCAATGAAAACCACATGGAGGGAGGAGAGAGTTGCGATCAGAGAGTGAGGGAGAGAGAGGCCAACATGAGCCACAGAGACACACGAAGAAGAACAACAGAGCAGCTGTGGGAAACATCTAAGGACCAGAACTAAGGTCAGACCCAGGACCAGAGGCTACCTACCGACCAGCACCAGAACCAGGCCCGCAGACCAGGAGCAGACCATCCACCATGTCAGAGTCCATCAAAAGAAAGAGCTCCAGCAGAGAGCTCCTGCAGAATCTCATCAGGTGAGACACATGACAATGACAGGTTTTACTTTCATTTTTCACCCATACCTGCAGTATAAAATTAAAGCAAACGTTTTTTGTGATATAAATTGAATTTGCTAAAGGTTTGCTCTGTGCAATTTGAAAATTGTTCACCACTCAGTAACTTATTTTTTTGACAAACAGCCTTCATAAGGTCAACATAAAATAATGAAACATGTATCAACCAGTGGTAAATACCTCGGCCAGATTGGAGTTTAAATGTAAATACAGTAATATAATTGAATATCTGTATTGTATTGTGGACGTTATGCATGCATAATACTCATTTAATTTGTGATACTTTAGGGATTTATTTTAATAACACTTAAATACTTTTCTTATATAATGTATTTTCTTCTGTATTTTGCTGCATTGACACTTGAATTTATCTACCTGTCTGTCTGTTGAATAAATACATGACTTGCATATTGATACTTTTTAAAAACATACACAGTGTTCTCAAAAGGGAAACAACCAGGGTCCTAGAATCAAACCATGTGGAACACCAGACAACATTTAAGCAAAGAACAAAGATACATAAGAACAGAGCACGTTCTACGATATAGTTTATTCAATTTTTAAGCCTTCGGCCAATATCTTTCCGAGGGGTGATTATAGTAAATGCAAAGATGAGTTTAACAACTCCAAAACAGGGTATACCCTTAACATCATCCATCAGATTATCAGTTATAAATAATCATGTTAAATTGATAGGTGGTGTAAACTGCCTGCAAAGTACACTGATAACATTTGTCTTTACAAAATGTAGTTTGGTTTCCAGAGCTTCACACCCACATTTAATAATTCCAGCTGTGTTACTTTTGAAACACTTAAGTGATGTGGGATGAATTGCGGATGTCAAGTCATTACTGCTTTATTGGTTGGAGTCTTCAGCAGTCTTGTGTATTGCTTTGAAATGCTTTACTTTTCTTTGGCACTGCAGCAACAGAGGTGTCGTACAACAGAGCTATAAGACAGCAGCTCTCAGCTGTGCTCCATTCCTGGTATACCTTCACTTTTCCCTCTACCCTCGCTCGGGAGAGTAACTCCCCTTCACCAGGGGAAGGTGACGCAAGACATATGTTTGATAAATTGTCCAAAAAGTGGCCAAATGCTGTCGACACCTAACTGAGATCTGGGGCCTCATTGATGAAGCCTTGCGTAGGATTCACGTGGGAAGGTTGCTTACGTAGGACAAAGCAAATAAATACGCACAGACATTTTCCGATTCATAAAACACTGCGTACCGGCGTAGGACTTGCGTGCGGCATGTCCTACGCCGGTTTCCCTTTATAAATCACAATCAACTCGAAATGCGGCCCAGCTTTTGCGGGTTTCACGTAACGCCCATATTTGCCTATAAATAGTCAAAGAAACGCCCCATATTAATATTCATTTTGACTGACTGCATGAAGAAGATCGCAGGAAATGACGACAGAACAGCTAAAAAAGACATTTCACACCGTGTCAGATTTTGGTTATTTTGGGAAGGTGGAGACACATCACATTGTTTGGTGGATGCAGTTTGAACCAGCATGGAGGTCGGATATTTTTTTATTTGGTGGTTTGTGTTCCAGCTGTCGATCAGCTGTGCGCAGCGTCTCCACTGCAGCCTGTGCATCTCAACCCCCCCACAGCAACTCTAGTTAAAGGAAATAAAACGAATGTGTTGAATTAGATCAGCTACCAAATCTACCAAACATATGGTGTTCTTAGTTTCCATACCTCCTGTGTTTTATGAGCGACTTATCAAGTCTTAGCAAACGGCATAGAACATGATTAAACATGATAGTGTAGTGATCACTGATGCATACACTGGGGTTACATAATCCAATCATGGAACTACAGGTTGGGGGTATTGTTTCCGCCCGGACACATATGTTGACGGTACCCTCCGGGGGTACCTACTGTGTGTCCTCCTCTTTCACTTTCTCTTCTCCTCTTTCCTGCAACCCGACAGCACGTCGATTTCTGCTCTCCAATAAAGAGAGATTTGCAACTCTGATACACCGCCTCCGCCTCCCTTCTCTCGGCACTACAATAGTATATAAAACCATGCTCGATCTATACAACCTATAGAAAAGCAAAACGGCCTCAGTTTAGACGTAATTCTGTCCTTCTGCATACCGCATCATTTATGAGAAAACATGTCATAACATATTCATTTATAAACGGTGCGTACGCTCAAAAGATGGCGTACGCCAGTTTCTACGCAATGTTTGCGATTTATAAAAACAAACTTGATGGGAAAATGTGCGGTCCTCCACGCAAACTCTGACCCATCCGTACGCACTAAGCACACAAACGGGAGAGACGAGAAACTGCGACACCGTTGGCAGAAGAAAGAATGGAGAGAAATATGTGGAAATAATACCATAAATAAAATGTTACCTCATGTATCATATGAAGAATTCATTTGCAAACATTGATTAAAGCCAATCTTAAAATGATTAAACAAATGCCTGTTTGCGAGTCCTCAGTGCACACAAAAACATAACTTGGAGAAATAAATATATACGGATATGTTATTGAAAACCACCTTGAATATGTTGTCTTAATGTTATGACATGTATTCTCATAAATGATGCGGTAAACAGAAGGACAGAATTACGTCTAAACTGACGCCGTTTTGTATTTCTATAGGTTGTATAGATACGAGCATGGTTTTACATACTATCATGTTTAATCATGTTCTATGCCATTTGCTAAGACTTGATAAGTCGCTCATAAAACACAGGAGGTATGGAAACTAAGAACACCATATATTTGGTAGATTTGGCAGCTGATATAACTCAACACATTAGTTTTATTTCCTTTAAGTGGTGGATATAGAGTTGCTGCGGGGGGGTTGAGACGCACAGGCTGCAGTGGAGACGCTGCGCACAGCTGATTGACAGCTGATCGACAGCTGGAACACAAACCACCAAATACAAAAAAATATACATTAATTGACTCCACTCTGCAGGGATCCCCCGATACTTTCTTACAGTTTCTCATCATGGGGGGGTCTCCTGTCCCCGGCACAAACACACTGACACACTGCCTGAGGAAGGTTATGTGTATTTTGTCATTAACTTTTTTCGCACCACTTATTTATTTATTGTGGTGACGATCCGACCTCCATGCTGCTACTCTGGTTCAAACTGCATCCACCAAACAATGTGATGTGTCTCCACCTCCCCAAAAGAACCTAAATATGACACGGTGTGAGATGTCTTTTTTAGCTGTTCTGTCGTCATTTCCTGCGATCTTCTTCATGCAGTCAGTCAAAATAAATATTAATACGGGGCGTTTCTTTGACTATTTATAGGCAAATATGGGCGTTACGTGAAACCCGCAAAAGCTGCGCCGCATTTCGAGTTGATTGTGATTTATAAAGGGAAACCGGCGTAGGACGTGCCGCACGCAAGTCCTACACCGGTACGCAGTGTTTTATGAATCCGAAAATGTCTGTGCGTATTTATTTGCTTTGTCCTACGTAAGCAACCTTCCCACGTGAATCCTACACAAGGCTTTATAAATGAGGACCCAGGACTCAATTCCCCCCATGCAGGTCACCTCGGCAAGTGGTCTGGCTGATTGGTTCCAAATCCTAGTGAGATCTGATCTCTGAAACAGTTCATGCTTACTGGCATGATCAGATGACAAAAGTGTATCAAAACCAGTTTTCAGAAAATATGATACTTATCTCATAGTTTTTTTTTTCAATTGTGTTCCAGAGTTATCAATCTAAATAGTGTCTTTAACCTCAAAATATACCCAAAGACATGCTTTTACATTGGTTTACAGTACCGTTACTCTCCCTCTTGACAAGGGGTAAAGGCTCTGGAATCTATCATCACAACCTATTTTAATTCAATCTCATTTGATCGTAAGCTTTTCTTTTCCTTTATACCCTTTTACTGTTTACTTCTCTTTGGACCTATTTTTGCAACTTACTCCAAATCCTCTCCTCTAACAGGCACCGGGAACCTCATTTAATGTGTTGTTTTCTGTATTTGCTTCTCTCTCCTAACTACTGTTCCCCATTATTTGTGAGTTTCTTGTTTCCTCAGTGATCAGTGGAACATTGCTGTGTGACTTCACTATAAAAAATTACACTCTGCTGCAGAGTTCAATGGCTTCTTTTATGGCTGCAACTTCCTTAATGGCCATGACATCATCTGGCTGAGTCCTGAATCCCCTCCTGCTCTACTACCCACACACACACAAAGAAAATGCAGTTCCCCCGACCTTCATTGCCTCATTGTGTAAATGGTGGAAAAAGTGATGCATATCAGACATATTTCCCCCATCATTTGGTCTTTTCACATTTGTGCTTCACAGCGTCAAGTTAAATCACCCAGCAGGCTCTAAAGGTACCTGGAAGTACACATTGTCCTGCAGAGACAATACCCTGTAACAGCAGTTATTTATTGCGTGAAAAAGTGGAGCAGTCATGCTCTATGTTATTGATATTTAACGTACTGGCATTTGATAGAGGACCATGACTTGATACCCTCAGCTGTCAACATATCTGTCAATCCTGTACAGGACTCTTTTTTACTTGCGGATTTGTTTAAAGATAGAATTAAGGATATTTAAGCCCCAAAATATTTAAAGGGGCACTATTGAGCTAATTTCCAGGTTCATGTTTGTATTTCTTGCCTCTACTATGACATGTTTTCATGATTATTGTTCAAAAAGGTCTTTATTTTTCTCATACTGCTTGTGCTGCAGCACCTCTTTTCACCCTCTGTCTGAAACCAGAGCCCAGTCTGCTCTGATTGGTTAGCTGACCGGCTCTGTTGTGATTGGTCAACTGCATAGTGATGTCCCACCCCTTAGCCTCTCAATATATACAATGTGTTGGAGCACTATACAAAGGAAGCGCAAGTGTTACGTACAGTATGGATGTCACTATGTCGCGAAGGTTTGTTGTGGCATTTCAAGCAGGGGGGAAGTGTATGGGAGAGAAACTCCCTGGGAGGAACTGGCGGTGTTTTATATTTTCTGTGCAAGAAACCCTGTTCCCTAGAACGTTGGCTCTTAATTATTTTTGCCATTTACACTGTGGTGTCAAACGTAAATCTGTGCCTGGATTATGTTCAGAGGCTTGTCTTTTTGAGTGAATGAAAAGCTACCGCCCTTGAGTCAGTGGTGGTCAGGGTGGATGGAGGGCGTGCAGAGCCCAGGCCTTTAACACCAAAGTGCATCCAGAGTCCTGTCTGTAATTTGGTTTGGCAATATGAGCACTTTGGTTTAGGTTAGGGAAAGAACGTGGTTTCTATTAAAAATTAATTAAAATGTTGTGTATCAAGTCACTGCAGACTTTTTCTGTATTAAACCAGATGACAATCTTTCCTTAGCATTACCTAAGCACTGTCTGTTCCAAAACATAACCATAAAAAGTTGAATAATGCTGTTAAAATGAGCAGATAAAGTTTTTAAAACATGCAGCAGCCGCGATAAGGTCCTTTGAGGATATCATAGTCATCCCTTGGTGCCTTTCATACAATAATGATGAGGTCCAGACCGTATCTCCAGTTGATCCAATTCCACCCCCAAAAGACGTCCAAAACATACTTCTCATCTCAGATCAAATTGATTTACGTAAACTAAAGGCTTACTCTTGCCAATATGTCTCTCTCACAAGAGATGTAGGTCACTTTACCACATGATACCGCAGAATGTTTGACTCACAGCCGTTCGTGGCCAATGTCCTCGCATACAGCCATAACAAATGACATCATCTGCATGGGCTTTTTATATTTGAATTATTTTTTTGCACTTTGAAGCAATGATTTCATTCAGCCAAATGTTTCATGAGCACATGTTGGGAGAATTAATCATATTTTCAAGGCAACTGGTCCGCATGTTTTATATATTTGTTTAACCAACATGCTCAAGGTTTTTCTTTTTTTTTTTCCTTTACACTGCTACAGTGTTGGGACTTAATTCACAATCTGCTTTTACCAGCATGTTTTTACCAGTTCAACCATGCAAACAAATGTATTTAGCTAATTAATGAGGCTTCAGTAGTCTGAGTTAATAAAACAACTCAGTAACCCCCAAAGTTTGGCTGTTTTAGTACAAAAACAGGGGACTTTGGAAGATAATTCACCACAATTAATTGATAACTGGCTTTTCTTAAAGCTTCATATTCATTTGTAAACTTTCTAATATGTATTCTGCACAGAACAAGAATTGTAGATTTTGTCTCCCATTGCTTATAATAGAAATGATCCAAAAACAGGAGGAATTGTTACACCAACAAAACCTGTTTCAGTGTTCAAAATACATGGTTTGGCCATCGCTTCTGTCAGTTACAGTGTAGAAAGAAGATTTGATAGCATAGAACGATATTAGATACATTTTTTGGAAAGCACCACAACATAAGTAAAAAAGCAACACAAAAAAATCAATTAGCTGCAAATGCCAAATACCACAAATATAAACAGATTAACATTAAGGATTGCAGATATGGAAATTGGCATGTAGCCATTTACAGAAAGCTAAAGGAGCTCCATGATTCTGACAATTACCAAATGCCATGACATCTTAGCCAGATTGTCTTAACTACTTTAATTGCAGTTAAAACAAAACCTGAGTGTAAAAAGTCTGCCAGTTTGTCAACTGTTTGGGTAATGCAATTAACCTTTGTCTTCGCTTTCAAATAAGTTTGGCTAACCCTACAGTATGTGTTATTTTGACTTACAACTGTTCTTTTTTTGCCCATTGAGACATTTTATTAAGATCTCAGCAGTTATGCATGAGTGCACAACGTTATCATGGCCAGATGTCTGAAAATACAGTGTGATTTAAAATTGTAAACTGTAATTATCCTTTCAAAACAATGACATAATGAGGAAAATGTGCTTGTAGCCAACCGACAGGTGCTCTCCAGAGACAGCTGGTTTCAAGCCAAGGTTCTTGTTATTACAAATGTTTGAGCAGATTTTCTCCAGAACTCTATAAGTATGGAAAGATGATGTTGCGGCTAGTCAAGATTCCAGTTTTTCTCCATCCTCCGTCTTGCTCCTCCTCCGTCTCTTCACCTCCGCCCCCTCTGTCTTTGTTTCTCTCCAGAGATTTTAATGAAGTGAAACAGCACGGCAGCTGGCTCCAGCTCCACCAGATGTGCTTGGACAATAAAGAGAGTGATTGTTATCAAGTCTCTTCTCTCTGGAAACAGAAGAGCTGAATGGGCTTTTAATAGAAGACAAGAGAACATCTTTTTGTTTCCTTTTGCTTTTTAAAATCCACTGAAAATCCCTTCTATATAAACTTTTCCATTGTAACCTTTCAATATTAGCAATCGAATAAATAATGTGAATCTGTACATGAGAGATAACATGGTTTTGATTTTTGATTAAATTGAATTTACCTTCATCTTATAGTGTAGCCCTCTGTCCACAAAATGTTGGTTTACTTAGGCTACTATTTTATGGTTAAAAGTCCACTATTGTTCTTTTTTAGGGTTTTCTCTTTCCTGTAGTGTGTTATAAAGGTTTATGTGCATGAATGGTCTGCAAAAATCCCAAAGTTCCCTCCAGAGGGAGTTTCTCTCCCACACACTGCGCCCCCCCCTGCCTGAAACACCTCCATTGGACTCCTTTGTTAACTTCAGCGACATGTTGACATCACTTTGTAACACTCATGCTTCTATTGACTTGCAACACATTGTTCATGTATATACGATTGACCAATCACAACAGAGGCGGCCAGCTAACCAATCAGAGCAGACTGGGCTTTGGTTCATACTGAGGGTGAAAAGAGGTGCTGCAGCACAGGCAGTATAAGAAAAATAAAGACCTTTTTGAACATTAAAGCATCTAAACATGTCACAGTACAGGCACTAAATACAAATATGAACCTGAAAAATGTGCATTATAGGGCCCCTTAAAGGTGGGGTAGGTAAGTTTGAGAAAACGGCTCGAGATACACTTTTTGTTATATTCCATGGAATGCTCTTAACATCCCGATAGCAATGAATATCTTAAGTGCTTTGACAAAAAATCCATTAAAAAATGTCATCTGTGGAAGTCGTAGTACTGTAAAAAGCACGACCAATCATTTTAGCCGGCCCGGCTAAAATAACTGGATGGCCGACCTGCCTGTCAGCCTTCCATCTGTGCACAAACTTATCTCGTGCCCTCATTGGTCATGTGCGCGTTCGTGTGTGTTGGAGGAGGGGCTCTGTAAGGAAGTGGCAGATTTGTTCCGGCAGTGTATTTTCAAATTCTAGCGCACTCGAGCTGGTTTCTCCAAAATTACCTACCCCACCTTTAAGGCTCCAATTTAAAGAAACCCCAATGCACTGTTGGGTTGTACACATGCTTCTAGCCAAGTAGAATCTAACAGTTGAAAGTTTGTCTTGTTTCTATTGCCGGTTATCAGCTTTATGGAGGATGAACTTAAGGTTTAGGGTTAGGGTATATTGAGTAACTGTCTCATCTGGGTAGCCAAACATTGGTCAAACAAACAAAAGTGTATTTTTTTAATGTCCAGATACTAAATGTGTCCGGACGAAGTTGGAAAAAATGCCCATAAAATTACGGACAAGACATCTACAATATATTTGTTAGATGGAATTGTGCAAAAGTCGAAGAAAGTTGTATTCAAGGTGTTTTCCTTGGAGACTCTACGATGTTGGAAGGCTCCTATGGTATTCAATTAGTGTTTTGGGGGTGTTTTAAGAGAGTGGTGACAGCCTGTTAATGTCTGTATTGGTTACAGTTTGACTGCCCAGCGGAGCCAGGAGGATGCTGAGGAGGTGGAGCGGGAAAGAAGGAGGAGAGCCAGAGAGACGCAGAGAGGGGAGGGGAGCACCTCTTGGCCCGAGCCCCCGCAACAATCAGAGCGCACACAAAACACCGAGTGAGTAGAACATTCAGACACACAGATTAAAGAGGCCCTTTTATGCTTTCTTGGGGTTTGTCCCTTTCTTGTAGTGTGCTATACAGGTTGCATGTAAATGGTCTGCAAAGGCGTAACATGATGTCACATAGATAGGCCAAGGGGCAGGACATCTCTATGCGATTGACCAATCACAACTGAGCCAGCCAGCTAACCAATCAGAGCAGACTGAGCTCTGGTTTCAGACAGAGGGTGAAAAGAGGTGCTGCAGCACAGACAGTATGAGGGAAATTAAGAGCTTTTTGAACATTAAAGTATGGACACATGTCACAGTAAAGGATACAAAATACAAACATGTACCAGAAAATGAGCAAAATAGGGTCCCTTTAAAGCAGGGACACATTCAAATACATGCACGCGCATAGATTTCTGTCAAAGAGTTTCCATCTCTTGTCTTTATGTTCATTTTCTCATTATTGCGCACAATGGATCAGCACTGTTCTATTTTAAGTTCTTTTTTCAGGTACAATTTCTTAAGGGTTACAGGGTCAAACTAATTTAAAAAAAAAATGTTTAAGTGAAAGCTGGAATTCATTTTGAATAAAGGTAATAGAGCGCTCCTGGTTGAAGGTGGACATTGAAACTGGCTGCTGGCTGTAGCTTTACATTTGCCATATAGTTTGGTAACTTTCTATCCATCTTTTAGTGAGAAATCCAAATCGCAAATTCTTGAAATGTCAAACGATTGGTGTGCAGATAAGTAAAAGGTGTTTAGTGAGAATAACATCTGGATTGTATCTCTTTAACTGTGCTACTGTAGATGTGAGGCCTGTGTTTCTGATGTTGGAGGCTGGGCGACCCGTTTGTTTGTGTAAACTGTCCTAGATTATTACAGATGAGTCTCCATTACCTGCAGGGCTGATTACAGGGGAACAGACGTGTTTGTTTGTTCGCAATCAGTAGGTTAAGCTCAGTGATGCTGCAGGTGAAGGCGCTGAGAGAGCTGCAGTTTGTGTTCCACCAGTCAGCGAAGTGACGTCTCTAAAAGGAAAATGTCTTCCTCACCTGAGACTGTGAGCGGCTGAGCATGCTCATTTACAGCACCTTGAAGCAGAATGCAGTTCGCTCATTAAATACTCCACTGTGAACTGGTTTAGTCATCAGCTTAATGTTTGATCCTGCCTGATGATGTGAATATTCTTTATCTACGACAACAGGGACACTGATGTGCTGTTTACACGGGAACGAAACGGGTTGTATCCGCTACTTTTCTCTTTCGTATAGCCCGTTCGTTCACACGAGGCCGTAACGGAACCGTGGAAACGGACCCCTAAAACGATAACGGGTCCCAAGGTGGATAGATCTGCGGACGGAACGCTCTGAGGGGGCAAACAGCTCCTCTACCCAACCCAGTATCACGGCAAGACGTGAACATGTGACGATCTACCATGCTGGGAGACGTGAATATGTCACGGTTTCGTCCCTTCAAACGTGACAGTTACACGGTATTGTTAACATGGCCCAACCAGTGGAGAAATACCCGGAAGTGCCAAGCAAATGGTCTACCGCGCCTATTGGTCGGTTTTTATTGTCAAAATGAGATGTTTTTAATTTATTTTTTAATCGTCACACTTGATTTCGCCGATTTTCTTGTTGCCCTAGCTGGTCGACACCTCTTTTAGGAGAAACAAAGGCTACATTAATGTATTAAATCGATGTTAATCCATGTGTGTGGATCATAGACTGGTGTGGATGTGGAATTAACGGACGTGACGTTGTGCGATTGCGTTGCCAGGCAACGCAATTTACAAACTCTTCAACTACAACCCTAATTATATTTTAAAACATTTTAGAAGGCCTCACGAAATACTTTAATGTAAATTCAAATGTAAATGTGAAGGGATGTGTGTAATGTGGTGATTGACATTATTCACCCACAGATCTATGGGTTGGGGTTATTGTTCCGCACGGACATTTTAGTTAACCGGACTTACTGTTGATGTGAAATCCGAAAACATTTTTTTAAATAAAATAATACTTTATTCCGAGTTTGCTTACTTTTCTGTTTGGAGGTCATCACATAACGGCATTGTAATACACGGTTCGGCTGCATTAAATATTACATATCTGCCGTAGTTCTGTATTTATAGATGATGAGAAGACTTCTGGACAAACAGGAAGCACTGCCGCCAAAACTGAAAACGTGACGTGGATCATAAATATATCAGCAATTAAACAACATCTTACATTTCTTTTCACACAATAAGTCTCCTTGCAGTATCAATACTAATTCGGCTGACTTTTATATTTGATCCAATTGGTAGATAGGCTGTATTTACACCATAACGGTGCACAGCTGATAGAAAGGCACATCTAGTGGTTAAAGCACGTTATTGAATTGTATTATTTTATTATTTTTCACAAAAATGAAACCATCAATAGCAGAAACAGTATTAACTGTAAAACACCCAAAAAAAAAGATCATTAGTGGTTTTGTTTTATATATATTTTAAGGATAATAATAGCAATGTAACACTGTCTATGACACTTACTGTATAACACTGATTTGAAAAACATAAAGAAAAAACTAATTCACTGCCCTTAATAAAGTATTTAAATATACATTTCAGGTGTGCTGTTTTGTTTAGATCATTGACATCTGGAGCTCTTTTAATGTCCTTTTTGATTATTGTTACACCAGGTCTTGTCAAAACCTTTATTCCATATTCAATATCCATTACTAAACAAAACAGCAATTCTACTCCACTACAATTCAGAGGTTAACCTGGTATTTTTACTCCACTACATTTATTTTAGTTACTTTGCAGATTCTGATTAATGATGTGAAATATAAACAACCCTTAAATCAGGCTTTAGTTACACCTGAGTAAAATTCAGGGAAAGGTGATTGTCAAGTGCCAACAATCAGGAGAGATATTTGATAGTTGCTGCTTGAGAAGACTAAACATTTATCTGCAGATCCCTATAAAGTATATTCATTACTCGTTATTCTCTACTAATAGTTAATTAAAGACTGTATATAATGGCTATTTTGCATATCCCTTTCAAGATTTCAAGATTTTCTAAGGTTCATTGACATATCATATACACAACTAATTCAATAACGTGCTTTAACCACTAGGCGGTGCACACAAGGTACACACAGCCATAATAACTTTGTATTATTAATGTAGGACACTTGTGTATGTATAACATCTGAAGATGTGTAGTTTTATTCATGTTTTCACATAATTGTACAGGATATTGCTATATTATTTCACATGTTTTACTTATAATATCTGATTTGTAAAACATCACAGACAGAAAGGTATATCCGTCATTTAACAGTAAGCTATTGAAATTCTGAATCCATAGATGTGTCTCCCATCACCCAAATCCCCTGACTATTCTCTCAACTCAGTATTTACATTCTTATATTCAAAGAAAATCAGTAATATCTTTAAAAACGACAAGTCCTTTTATATCAGCTGTGCACCGTTATGGTGTATAACGTATTTTTTTTTTCGGATTTCACATCAACAGTAAGTCCGTTTAACTAAAATGTCCGTGCAGAACAATAACCCATAGATCCGTGGGTGAATAATGTCAATCACCACATTACACACATCCCTTCACATTTACATTTGAATTTACATTAAAGTATTTCGTGAGGCCTTCTAAAATGTTTTAAAATATAATTAGGGTTTAGTTGAAGAGTTTGTAAATTGCGTTGCCTGGCAATGCAATCGCACAACGTCACGTCCGTTAATTCCACATCCACACCAGTCTATGATCCACACACATGGATTAACATCGATTTAATACATTAATGTAGCCTTTGTTTCTGCTAAAAGAGGTGTCGACCAGCTAGGGCAACAAGAAAATCGGCGAAATCAAGTGTGACGATTAAAAAATAAATTAAAAACATCTCATTTTGACAATAAAAACCGACCAATAGGCGCGGTAGACCATTTGCTTGGCACTTCCGGGTATTTCTCCACTGGTTGGGCCATGTTAACAATACCGTGTAACTGTCACGTTTGAAGGGACGAAACCGTGACATATTCACGTCTCCCAGCATGGTAGATCGTCACATGTTCACGTCTTGCCGTGATACCGGGTTGCCTCTACCACAACCATCAGCAACAAGCGGACATGGAAAACTACATGAACTACATGTTGCTACATCCACCGCGGAGAATAAACAGAAGGGCAACTAGGCAACCATGGCAACCATGCTCGGGGGTCTTCTTCGCTGCTTTTGGTGTATTTTGTGGCGGAAGTACAGCTCCACTTACAGGCCCGGCATATGTACTACAGCGTCTCCAGCGGGTCGAGCGGTCTCGTGTGAAGGGACACGTTTTTTGAGCCGTATCCGTGTGAATGGAAGACTTTTTTGATATCGAACTCGGTTTGTTTGCGTTTCGTTTGCGTTTGCGTTCCCGTGTAAATGGGGTCTGAAGCTCCAAAAACAAGTGTGGTTGCCAAGATGCTCAACAATAGAACTGAGAATTCAGAACAACATTTTTTAATTAAAAGACAAATTAAGCCCCAAGTCTGTTTTTCAGGTCTCAGGCTCGAAAATGACATTCCCAGAACAAATGACTATATCTTCACTTCTAAAAGGGGTAAATTAATAATCTTTTTTCTCAAAGCAATGATAAACCTGTGAGTTGGATGTAGAAGAGTCAGAATCAATATAGACTTTTTTCATTTTAAAGTAAATTCAGATTGAACATAGTAAAAAAAATGAAATTATAGTGTCCGTCCAAAGAAAAAACATTACTTATAGTGAAAACCACCCTTGATAGTAGACTAAAAGCTTTAGGAATCCAAACTATAACATATAATAAGTACCCTGTATCAAGATTGATGCAAAACAAGTGAAATTTGAAAAAAGAAATATGGGTGTATTTGCCATATCTCTGGCCCCCCTCGGTCGATTTTGATGATTGACACCTCTTTTGAACCGTTAGAGCCAATAGAATCGAGGGGAAGTTCCTAAAATCCATCTAAACATTGGTGAATGAGTGATGCGCAGCCAGCACGCCCAAAACCGGAAGCTGGGTTGTATTCCTCACACACTCTATATGAAAACAACAACAAATCTCTGTTTTTGAGGGGTTTTGACAAAAATGGAATGATGGATTATCAGTAATCATTTCAAAGTGACACAGACACATTGGATTAACCTTCAGCAGTGTTTTTATCGTTTTAATGCCATAGAACACAACTTTTGATCAGAAATCAGCAAAGATAAGACATATTTGCCGTTTTGGCTCAGTAAAGCTACACTGTGTGTTGTCTGGGTTTGCCTGAGCTGCCGCGAGATTTGGTCGCACAGTGATGATACTTATACCGCTAGAATCTGTGGAATCTCAGCTTTAATCTGATATCTTGTTTGTGCAGATCCGATGAGTAATAAAGTATGTATACCGTGAGTTCTGTGCTAAGTGTGTTAGCATTTCTTCGCTCAGGGCCAATTCAGAGGCTCGGCGTTAGAGTTGTGTTTTGTTTCGGTAAAAATTGTTAATATTGCCTGATAGCTAAGTTTCTTCCCGTTAAGTAGGTATGACACATTCATAGTTTGTTAAATGTTAAGAAGCTCTCAGACGCTGTTTCTTGCAAGATGTTGCGTTTTGCCCCCAGTACCGGGGGCATGGGGCTTAACTGGTTTAAGGAATGTCCTCATCCTCTTCCCAATCTCCAATAGCTATAAGGACTAGACTTGTGGAGGTTGCAGTTCGAGCAGAGGGCCCTAAACTTCCTTTTCCCTGGCCACATCAACAAGCTCTGACTGGGGGATTCCAAGGCGTTCCCAGGCCAGCAGGGAGATATAATCCCTCCACCTGGTCCTGGGTCAGCCCCTCGGTCTCCTCCCAGCTGGACGTGCCTGGAACACCTTCCTAGGGAGGCAGCCAGGTGGCATCTTTTCTAGGGGCTCGAAACCCCCTATACTCGCTCCTTTTTACGCAGAGGAGCAGTGGCTTTACTCTGAGTCCTTCTTGGATTACTGAACTTCTCCCCCTATCCCTAAAGGAGTTGCCAGCTACGCTCCAAAGAAAACCTTTTCTTTGGAGCGAAAACCTTTTCTTTCGGAGCAGCTCCCGCTGCTCCGGCTCCATGGTCCCCTCACTCGAGAACAAGACATGTGCACTCCAGAGACGGAGGGCACCTGAGATACTTGAACTCCTTAAATATTACATTTAACATCAACTATTAAAGTTACTTTGCATATTAACAATAAACTAATACATGTTTATCATCATAAATATAAAGTTGTTGTATTTGCTAGCTTCATCTTTACCAGCAAATGATGCTAACATACAAGGCAAAAATAATTTGGACCCAAAAATCACATATTCTGCCTAAGACGTATTTTACTTCTTGTACTTGAAGCATATTTTAAAACAAATACTTGTGTACCTTTACTTACTTGTATACATTATGGTAGTACCACCTTTAGAGATGTGAGTACAAGATACAGAAGTCATTGCTTTATTAAAATGATTCAAAAGATCAAATCGTTCATCATTTTCTGTGCAATAATATGCACCAAATCCAATTTTGAAAATAACTGAATATAGTGATCATTAACATTAAAAAAAAGAAATCAACTGACTGCACTGGAGACATTGGAAACGAAGTTTGCACTGTTCAGCCAAACTCCCTCTCAGCCTTAATCAAATGAAGATTAAACACACTCAGAGTCAACGTTTAGAAACCAACTAAATCTCTCCGGGAAAGAAAACATCAGCCTTTGGGTGTTTAGTCAGTGCTGATGAGGTTCGGTCTGCTGATTTGCGCTGACCTGGAACAAGAGGCTGCAGTTTCTCTTTGTTTGTTGTTACCACGGGCACAATCTCTGTTGCCATGGCGCCTTGAGCGGCATGTCCTGTGTGCCACCTGCCGCCTTGATCAACACTGTAGATCAACACTGTGAGGAACCTCTGGGTGACACTCAGTCGCCCATCAGCAGTAACAGGAGACACTGTCTCAATTACAACTTCAATTGAACTCTACTACTAGCAAAATGCATGATTTTATTTGAAGTAACATGCATATTTGGCAAACTATTATTTAACACAGGTTGGATTTTGACAAGTGGCTCAACAATATAACTTTTGTCCAACTCATTCATTCTCTAAAGCACCTCCAATAAATCAGCTGAACCACTGATATAGTTGTATTACTATTAAATGTTTTCAAAATCCAACCAAATCTTGACCCCACCTCTTGTCAGGCTACTCAAAGGTACAGTTGTTCAATTGTTCTCAGGCTGGACGGGGAGCTGAAGCCCAGATGCTGCCTGGTTCTGGAGGAGGACGAGGGCTTCAGCGACTGGAGTCACAGGTTGGAGAATCGTCCTGAGCAGGAGGTGCAGGATGACTGCAGAGCCCGGGTGCAGAGACCTTCAACACAACAGAGGAAACCAGAGACTGGAGAGGAGAAACAACATGAGACTGGAGAGGAGAAACAACATGAGACTGGAGAGGAGAAACAACATGAGACTGGAGAGGAGAAACAACATGAGACTGGAGAGGAGAAACAACATGAGACTGGAGAGGAGAAACAGCATCAGACTGAAGAGGAGAAACAGCATCAGACTGGAGAGGAGAAACAGCATCAGACTGGAGAGGAGAAACAGCATCAGACTGGAGAGGAGAAACAGCATCAGACTGGAGAGGAGAAACAGCATCAGACTGGAGAGGAGAAACAACATAAGAGTGAAAAGAAGAAACAGCAGGGCAGTGAAGAGAAGGAGGGATGTGAGCCAGGACACAGCAGTAGGTCACAGGAAAGACCTCCAGAGAAGGTACACCGCCCAACAGATCCACACTGTAATACTGGGGCTTTCTTTACCAATGAGTCTGTATTGTTCAAGGATTCAAGGATCCCAGGTGTATTGTCATATGCACAGTATAGCTGCAGTGTAGTTATGGCTATGAACATCTTAAGTCCAAAGCTCCTCCAACAATGCAACATATTATATATAGGACATAAGAAAAATTAAATTAAAATGAAACATAGTAGGATAGATTAGATGAATGTTCACAATGTTTCTGACATTAGGCTCATTCCTACAGCATCAATTGTATTCCCTTTTTATTAGAAATGAGTAACAATCTCTTCCTGGCATGATGTTTATTTGTATCAAAAATTGCAATCTGTAAATCCTTCAGTTTTATATATTCATTTTTCTGCATTTGGTATGAAATGTGGGTAAGAGATACATTTACCCTTCTTGATGAATTGTAGTGGCTTTGATGATCAACTGATCAGGGCAAATATTGGCCATAACATTAAGTTGCCACATGCCTCACTAATATACTAAAAACAGTTATACCTGCAATGATTCACCTGCATTGGTTATTGCCTTTGTGAGCATTTTAGTATTTTAATGGAGTACAACTCTAAACAGCTGCAAGTAAGGCAGTAACTGAGTAATGTGATCAAAGTTGGTGCTTTATATACAAAATACTAAATAATTCCGAAAATAACTTATGAATTTGAATCGTAATTAATTAACGGCATTACTAAAAAATGTGTGTCTACACTTCTCTGAAACTGGCTGGCAATATCAAGCTTCAAATTATTATACATTTTTCCTCAGATACATATTGTCACTTTAGATTAACATGCAACCTGCTTGGTTATAATTGTAGATGTCCAGCAACAGAAAGGAAGTCAGGACGTCGTACAGCTCCACGGTGTTCCTGCCACAGGACAACAGATCGCAGCACGCCACGGGCCAACCAGCAGACAGGACGTCCTACCTGGCGGCCGGGACGATGAAGCCACGGTGAGTTCTCCGCTCTTCGCCTGGTTCTATCTGTCTTTTCCCTTTAGTCAGTATTTGTTTTGTTTTCATCCTGGGATCCAAACATTCAAATGTCTTTATAAACTGTTAAAATGATCTCCAACCCAGCGGAGGGGCCTGCAGGGTGGATGGAGAGCTGGAGCAGGAGGAGCAAAAGGAAGAGGCACAGGCTGCTCTGCAGATGGAGCGGAGATCAGCTGAAACCAGACAAAACCCCAGAGATGAGGATGACCAGGAAGAAGAAGAGCTGAGATTCACACATGAAGAGAAGGAAGACCTCCACCACAGCTGGGAGGAGGGACCCAGGGAGGAGGAGGAAGAGGAGGAAGACCTCCACCACAGCCGGGAGCATAGACGCAGGGAGGCGGAGGAAGAGTACAAGCTTCGAGACAAGGTTGACTTTCCATTAACACTGTTGCTATTCCTACTAATATCAGCTCTTCTGTAACACTTGCCTTTATCGGGTCGGTCTGTCTTTCTGTTGCCCTTCTTTTAAGTCATCCACAAAATATGTTTCTTGTACAAGATTGTGAAAATGTGAATGGTTCCTGGAGGAATTTATTAAATTCCATATTTTGTTTACTATAAACTGATTATTTTGGAGATTCCCTGACTTTTTGTCATGTCATAATCTCATGTCCTGATGAATTGAGAGACATTTCTTTTGTCATGTTCCCCAGAGCATGAATCTTAATGTTTTTGTTGACTAGCATATTTACTTCAGAAACAACTAAATCTAATGGTGAAATGCATGCCCAGAGGAGGAACTAACCCTTTTTAAATGTCATAAGCATGTTTTACATTTATCCTAAGAATAATTATATCAATCTATAAAGGAGATAGTTGAGCAAATTCAGACTCAAACCTTTTTTTTTATAATGAAAAGTAAGTATCACTGAATAAGAAAACTCGACAGGTTACCCTACCTGTCGAGTTTTCTTATTCAGTGATACCCATCAAAACACACATGTTGAATCCAAAAACATGTGCAAAGCTTATTTTTGTTCATGTTTATATCCATCTCATAATTAATGCTAGCACACTATTATATTTCCAACATCTATTATATCATTATTAGTGTATTTTGATTTAAAACTGTGCTTCCATCAGGATCAACTTTTTGTACCTTCATGACCGGATCTATAAAATGTTTATTGCTAGTAATGTCCAACTCCTTCACATTGTGTGGGCCTCTTTAGAATGTTACTCTGATTATTATATAAAATACTTGATGCTAATAAGCAATAGTTTGCTGACATAAAACCAAGCATGTCTGGTTTTTCCCAACGTTTCATGAAACATTAAATCAAACACATGCATGCTTCTTTTTTTTTAAACTCACAGTTCATTGAATTTGGCTTTAACTCTGAAAGTAATAAAGTAAAAGAATGTATCTTTGGCTCACTGGGTGAGGAAATGCCTGAAAGCAGCAATGATGTAAGATGTTGTAACAAATTCCTACTTTTAGCACCACTGGTTTGCCGGTGTTTTATTAGTCTTCTGCCACCACATAACACGCAATAGGGGAGCAGTGCGAACACACATTTTGAAAGGCTTTATCCAGAGAAAGAACAGGCATTAAGGAAAACTGTGCTCCAGATTATACTCTTTAACCCAATAAGACTGTATAATACTGCTAATACTGACAATAGTCTACTGTATTAAAACAATAGACATATTGGTTGATATTTGTATGGTGGTGTTGTTCTAGAGGTCAATGGAGAGCGGGAGGATTGAGGAGCTGAACAGAGGATCTGCAGCCTCTCTTTGCAGCAGCAGCGAAGGCGAGGAGCCGTTAAACTACGGTCCGATGAGCCCCACGTTCAAGGTATGTCATCAAACCAAAGAGGGTCTCTGCAGTATGATTTTCTAAATTCAAAAAGCATTGGAATGAATGCCAGCATCTATAGGTTTGGTTAGTGAAAGTAGTTGCGGTAGAGATGATTGTCGGTCTCTGTCTTACAATTCTGCTGTTGCACAAAAGGATTTGGTTCTTTAAAGCTTTTTTTGGTGGAAAATATCCCGGTATGGGATTTTGTAAACATCACCCAGTCCTATGCTTCCATGTTAACCATGCCAACATGTTTTTTTCTCTTTCATGCTCCCCGCTGTTCTTCTCCCAGAAACTCCTCATTCAGTTTTACCCTGTGAGTGCTGTGCATGTGTCAGCTGACTGATTTGCACTGATTTAAATGTACACACGTTTTGCTCCAAACGTTTTGCATGTCAGAGTTCTTCTGTACTTATAGTCATTCAAATGACTTGTGAGAGCTGCCGGGCCTGCTCTAATCTGTGTCTCTTCACAGGATGAAGCAAACAGCAGAGTCCCCCCCGACAGTAAATGTAAGGTGAGTGCTGCAGCAGACCAGTGTAAAGGGTCAAGGTCAGAAGCTGTAATGGGATAAGAAATGTAAATTCAAAGACATCTTAAAAATAGCACACTATTCTATTCAAAATATTATTATTATTGTTGTTTTTATTATTGTTGTCATTATTATTTTTCTTTTTGTTGTTGGTTAATTGGTTGGTCTATCTTTTGTATTATTTAAACTGCCAGATTTTCTTGGCTCATTTTAGAAATGTTTTAACCCGGGTTTAACCATGTCAAGCTATTTGTTTTGATAAATGCTGTTAAATGTGTTTGTCTTAATATGTTATTTACCTCATGTCATTCAAAGCTCAATCACATAAACAAACACAGAGTCCTTGGGCAAGACACTTCACCCTAAATTGCTCCTGTTGGGAGTGTGCACAGTATGGAGTGTACAGTATGTAAGTCGCTTTGGGTAATAGCGTCTAATAGGTAACAATGTAATGATAAAACTAAAGAGCGCTGTCTCCAGGATTACCAAGTTAGCTGGAAAGCTGAGTAAACAACACCTTGAGCGGGTAATCCTGTCCCGGATCTTGGGGGGTTTCCACACACTCACCCTCAATCTAGGAACATACGTTTCTGTCTTGATCTGTGAGAAAAATGAAATAACAACTTTGTGCCGGTTTATAGGTGCTTAAATAAAAAGTCTGCTACTGAAGGTCAAATCCCATACAGTACATGTGTAATCATTCCTGTGAGTTTGAACCTTTCATTGTCTCTTTCCTTAGATCCTAGAGAGAACTGAATCACTGAGGAAAAGGTAAGTGTGTGAAAATGTCTTGTGAAGTAGATTTAAAAGAATGTTGTTTCCAGTGCTGCACCATTTTATGGAAATGTTATAAGAATAAATCTAGGAATAAAAAAAAAGTTCCAGGTACAAAATATAAAGTGCAGGAGTTGAGAAGAAAGTCTACTCTTAAAGATATCTGCTTATCAAACACCCTGCTGCTTATCTTGTTTTACATTATTAATTATATAAAAGAATATACTTGTACATCATCAGATTTCTCACAGTTGTATACTTTCACTCTTAACACGTATCCATTCTCCTAAAGCACCGGCAGCATAAAGAAGACGCTGTCACCTGTTGCTGTTTCAAAGATTGACAAGAAACTGGAGCTGTACACTCATGCTCTCGAGGTGAAACCCCACTGAGTGACTCTTTTCAATGGTTCTTTTTCTTTTATTGACTTTTTTGAGAACCCTTGCAGTACTTCCAAAAACTGCCAGTACTATATCACAGTTTAGGATAATGCATCTTTGTTTGACTCTAACAGAAACCATAATATTCCGACAATGAGATCAAATTCTGAATAAATCATCTGTGTGAAGAACCAGCATGTATTGTTGAACTACAATATGGAAGATCCCCAATTTCTGTGTCTCATTATGTTAAACTCTCAAACCTGATCTCATTCACAGGTCGCCTCTAAGGAAAGCAGGTCCGGCAGCCAGGTGCTGACGGACCTGACGAGTCCCACTGAAGCCGTCTCGTCCAAGAAGAACCTGTTTGAGGCCGGGGAAGCCTGGAAGCAAAACGCCATCTCAGTCACACCATCTAAGGTAAATTATGAAGTTTCTTTCTTTATCCTAATTTACCTTTTTACATTTAAACTGATAAATAACTGCTCATCCTTTCACTCAGGTTTTTTGATGAATTGTTCAGAAGTTGAATTTTCCTGTTTGTTAATGTTGTGTTGTATTACAAATCCAAATGAAAAAAACAGGCATGACCATAAATCTTTGATGTGCAATATTTTATTCTAAATAAGCCCTTTAATGCTTATTGGGGTTTTCCCTTTGGTTTTAGTGCATGTAAATGGTCTACAAAGGCTTGAATCCCAAAGTTCCCTCCAGAGGGAGTTTCTCTCCCACACACTCCCCCCCTGCCTGAAATGCTGCCGTTTGACGTGCTTCTATAGGCTACCACTCCAACACATTGTACATGATAGGCTAAGGGTCGGGACATCTCTGAGCTCTTGACCAATCACAACACAGCCGACCAGTTAACCAATCAGAGCAGACTGGGCTCTGGTTTCAGACAGAGGGTGAAAAGAGGTGCTGCAGCACAGGCAGTATGAGGAAAATAAAGAGCTTTTTGAACATTAAAGCATGGAGACATGTCACAGTAGAGGCACAAATACAAATCTGAACTACATTAGGGCCCCTTTAACATTGTTAAATAGCTTCCAGTTTACAGACACATGAAGTTTTACATCAGAAAGAATATGATATTTTGTCCAGGGAAGGTCTAGAATTTGATTTAATATAAACATCTATGGTACATTTATGTAGGTGAACTTGAAACATACAGAATTACAAATATTATAATATTTCCTCTTATCTTTCTCAGGATGCAGATGGTTTAAAAGTGGGCGTGGCCAATCTCATTAATCAGTGGGTGAAAGAAGGTGAAGATGGGAGCAGGTGCAGCTCACCTTTTAGACAAGGAGTAAGTCTGAATTTGATCCTCAATGAACATGATTGTTTGATACTTGTCTCTGCTTCACTGTCTTGCTTTTTTCTATCATGTCTGACACGATTCACAAAGCTTTTCACCCATGAACTGATCCTTTTTCAGTTCTGTGACATGAGCTTTGGAACAACTGTTTATTTCTATCAAATGTAATCTCCCCCTTCCTTAACTTTCATCTACATGTTGTTTTATGACACTATTCAAGAAGAATTCCTCCCCACTATGCAACCACACCCATCTTTTTTCATCTGGTGTAAATCATTTCAACCCAGCTGAACAGAGCAGTCAGTGAGAGTCTGCCGCCTTGTGGCTGCAGAGATGACAAACTGTGTACTGTATGTTGCTATATTTGCAGTATGAAACACGGTGTTGTTTTAAAACATAATAATTAAAGGCTAGAGTTCAACTAAATCTAATAAGCTTTAAATTAATTGAATAGCATTGTTCTTCTAATGCACAATTTAATGTTCAGAGCTGACCGAGGATAGTTTGTTAAAATCTCATACTCTCATAACTCTGCTTTCTTTACCATTACACTGTAAGGAGACAGTTGAAAACATTAAAGATTTTATAGCCTCATTCAAAACCAGATGTGGACAAAGAAATTGGTTGTATAAGTGTAGTTCCATGCCTGGGGACCGGGACCTCCTACTGCAGTATTTCCCAACCTTTTGGCTCTCGATCCTTTACAATGAGATAATGTCTATTTGTGACCCTGCTGTCACTGCCTATGGCTGAGCGTGGAAATATATTATGATCAGTTCCACCAGAGAAGAGTTCCCATTTGATTGTATCTTTAGAATTGTTAGGGCCCTGTTACAATAAAACAGATGGTCTGTGTTTTTTAACAGGAAAATCAAATGTTGCTGTTGTTATCTTGAGACCCCTCACATTAGTTTAATACTCCACGGGGGTCTAGAGCTCCAAGTTGTGAATAAGCTCCCTTCAGAGTCCTGTTGTTATTCAAATGTTTTTTTTTTTAAATAATTTTTTTCTTCTCTAAAATGTATAATTACTGTATATTGTAAATACTGGCATGACTTGTTTAGACCAGAAAAAACACTATTTGGTTTGAATGCTCACAACCTTTTATATAAAGTCCGTGCTTACAACTCATACCAATGTATGACTCAAAAAATCACTCAAAACTCACCTTTTCACTCTTGCCTTCAACTCCTAATCCACTTACCCCTTGCCCCTATTCCACCTAGCTTACTGTAGCACTTTTTACTTTTGTTGTTATTTTCCTTCTTTACTTGCTTGTAAAGTATTTTGAGCACCAGGAAAAGCGCAATAAAAATAACATGTATTATTATTATACCTGCAATTAAGTCATAAACTGTCACATATTTCCTTTTTGATTGTTTCAAAAAGGCACATTGGATGTTAAAAGTTTCAGATGAATAAGGCCACACTAAAGTTGTTGCATAATGTCTATGCATCCGTTTTGATAACTGATGTATTAACTGAATTCCAGGAAAGTTCAACTGGGAAAAGATCTAAGTTTGTGGTGACGGGTCACGGCAAGTATGAGAAGGTTCCTGTGGACAGCAACAGTGAAGATGCAAACTGCCAGTCAGGTAAGACTACATCCATTTACGTTGGATTGTTACTGTGCTACTGTAGTAACTTTGTTGTTGTTATTATTATATTTATTAATGACTTCGTTATTAATAAAAAATGTCATCTTTCATATAATTAATAGTCAAAATGTGCCTCATATTTAGAGACTTATTGTTTAATTTAACCTGCAAAACTAGCTTGAAGATAAATGTTATTTATATAAAGAATAGTCAAGTATAGACACTAACATTAAATTGGCCTAAACAACGTTTATTACCAAAAAAAGGAATTCAAATGAAACATTAACTAATTCAAAAGATTATATTTTACAAACTGTCCTCCAAAAACAAGTCAAGTCTCAATATATTCTGTATTTTGTTATAGTTAGAACATCCCATGAAAAGACCAACACCCAAAAAGAAAGATGTACTAACAAGTATTGTTATTGTCTCAAAGTATGATATATACTGACCCAAAACTATTGAAAACAAATCAATGAGCCTAACTATTGCACTGAAAAACATGTTCCTTCATTACCATGAATACTCACATACTCAATCCCATATACAAATAATTAGTAAAACAGGGGTTTCACCCTGGGTTTCAGCCAAAGGCAACCTTAGCTGAAATAGATACATAGCAGGAACCCCCACTAAATATGTACAGTTGAGCTGCATAATAAACTGGTGTTCAATAACATTGTGTGGCCTTGAGTGCCATGCATAGACATACCTTTGTATGGTGCATACTGTCTGTTGCTAGCTTAAGTGATTGCCCAAGGATTCATGGGTAACAGACCATTTGTGATCCCTAGAGATCCCTAGGGATCACAAACCGACTGTTGATGGTTTCTACTACTGCAGCAAACGTGGATTAACCTGCGGCTTAAAATAGTCCTCCACAAATGTACTATCTCCCACTGTTTGAGTTAATGTTTTAAAACAAAAACAAAAGTTATGGAAATTGTTTGACCTTTTAAAAAACCAAAGAGTATGTGTGTGAGTCATCACTATAGGTTTACATTGTCAGTAGGGGCGGGGCGGCTTAAGACTGAATTCCATATATAACACTGGGAAGTCAGAGAGTACTAACACTGTGGGTTCTGGTCCCTTCATGGAAGTAGTTGACAATAACACAAATATAAAGTACCACAGACATTATACTTTAACAATGTACTTTTCAGCAGTGATGTCTGTGTCTCCTTTTAAAGCTACAGTTGAATTTAGTTCTTATTATTTGGTACTTTGTTTCTTTGTCTGACAATCCATAAGTAAAAGCAATCAAATATATGTGTTAAAAAAAGGGAAATACCAGACAAAAGTTTCACATTTAACTTTATGCACCTTTGATCACACAGTTAATATAAAACATGTTATGGCTTGAGCATTCGAGTAATAAATGGGGCTTTGGGTAGCTTATAGGAGGAAGTCCACCTCACACGAAATTCCACATACGGATGATCATCTTTGGGAAAACAGCAATTTTTTTAAATCGAAATATAGAGACAAAAAGGTTCAAAGCTAACATGCAAATGCTTGCTATGGCAGCACCAAATCCTCAAAATGAGTGCCCCACTCATCTTCTAATATCTGTACTTATTCTCTAGCTATCCCTCAATATTTAGTTAGTCTGTCTTCCTACAGCAGGACTCAGCATCATCATTGTCATCATCATGTTCATCATTCATTGGTATCCACTTCTACATCCTAGAAACAATCTAAATTCAGTAACATTTTTCACAAGTCCTGGACAATCCATCACAAGGCAGGACATTACAAACCACAACAGGGTCAATTAGTTTATCTCTATTTCATTGAGGTTGCGAGGTCACAATGGATCTCCAACTTACTAAACGATAGAAAACTGCACTTTTAATTATAAAAAGGAATTCAGACTCTGTATCCCTTTGGATATGTGCGTTACATTGCCCATTACGTTACGTTTACAGCATTAGCATGCTAACATTTGCTAATTAGCACTTAACATAAACAGAGCGGAGGCTAATGACAATTTGTTTGAAAGTATAAAACCAAATTTAAACTTTGACCTCCTGTGGGATCCTTGTTTTTTTTGTACCAGCCTGTGTGGTTGTAGTTTCCTGCCCTGGTCGGAAGCCTGAACATCTGCCGATTAATTTCCATCCATACCTTGCAGAAACCTTCTTCTGTTCTGGTTATACCTTCAAGCCTTTTTTCCTTCTTTCAAATCCAACTGCCCTGTTTTTTTTACAGGAATGTAAAAGTCCTATTTATTACAGATATTAAAGACTGCCTACCAGCGGAGTACAATGAAAGCTTTACTTTCTTTAGAAAAAATAGAAAAAAGGAAGCGTTACAAATGAAACAATCTATTATCAATCAATGTATCTACACATCATGCATTCAACTCCACAACTACACTATCATCAAATGAAAAAAGAACAATCCAACCAAGTAAAGTTGCAGCGTACATAATATTCCTTGCTTTCTCTATCTTGTTTCTTTATTGTCATATTACTACTTTTAAGTGGCAATGATTCCCCACCTACACCACCACTGTGTTTCGATCTGTTACTTTTAGAGTTATAATATATCATACATCTTACTTGTACACATACAGCTAATATACAACGTATAGGTTCTAATGAATCAATCATACTTTGTTGCCCCTCTTAGATAATCAAACTCCTCACTTCAGCCCTTATTATAATTATTAAATGAACTCAATCCACTTTGTTTTTATTCTCTCGCCACAACACTACTAATCATTGCCATTCCAAAAGATACTTCTGCAACACATCAAGTTATATATCTGTAGAGTTTGTTGAACCAAATCCTCTCGCTTTCCTGTTGAAGTCCTTTCGTTCATCTTCCTGAGATTTGTGTTTGATCAGTCCCTTTTCAAACACTGCTGCTATTTTCGAGAGTGGCTTCTCGCCGCCTCTTTCAGCTTCCTAGCATCAAAACGGGGGCTGTACAACAAAATCGGAAGGCGGTTGACAAAAGAAGGAATTTCTGCTTGATTGTCTTTAGGTTCCTTTTTCTTCTCTGAATCTTTCTTGGTGGTGTTGAGCTGTTGAATGATTTTTTCTTTTGTTGAGAACATGTGAAAGAGCAGGGCATCCCACATCTTTAATGCCTTGTGACCTTCTTTGTCGCTAATCACTTCTCGATGAGCACATTGGTCTGGGGACAACTTATCCCCACCCTGATCTGTTACCTCATTGCTGGCAGTGGAATCAACCTGTGATTGGATCTCCAGCATTGGAAACTTAGGTTCCTCTGGCTCCACGACCATGTGTTTCTTGAGCCGTGTCCATCCACTTAGCTTCCCCTTTAGGCCTTTTAGCTTCTGGGGTGCTTGGGCTGAGCTGATGCTGTCACATCCTTCTTGTCATCAGTTGAAGATGCAGTTGATGTCGCTGACTTCGTGGAGGGGTTGTCTGGCAGGGCTTCCGTCGGCGCAGCTGAAGCTTTGGTCCTCAGAACTTCCTTCTCTTTGAGTCCAGTTTTTTTGCGGAGATGCGGTGACATTCCTCTGTTTGGGGATGGAGCTTTGACTGAGACTGAGGCCTGAGGCAGAGGGGCGGGAGTGCAGAGTCAATCACAGCGGCTTTAACTATGGATGGTTTCATGACAGTATCTGTTGCTGGCTTTGCAGGGGAAATGTTCTCTAGTGGTAGCTCTGTTGAAGGCTGAACATTTCTGTTGTGCATGCTAATCTGGCCCTGATTGGGGGTAGACTTTAAAGTATCCGAATTTGCATCTGATAATTTTGTTTCTACAGGGACAGAGGAAGGTCTTGATTCTGTGTGTGGATTATGAGGCTGTGTTTTTAGAGTCGGTTTGTTTGAAACATGAACAGTAGATTGTATTGGAGTGCTAGAAAAACTGTTCAGTGAGGAGATTGTTTCTTCCTTACTACAATTAGTTTCTACCTTTGTTTTTATCATTTTCAATTGTGAATCTACATGAACCTCAGCATTGTGATTCATGACTGAAGAGTCCTTAGTTGTGGGTGGTTTTCTGTCTGGTTTTCTGATATTATCTGTTAATGATTTTGCAGATGGCTCAACAATGTTAGTAGGTGTATTATTTTGAAGAGATGTATAGTGAGGTTTTGTCCTGATCTTGTCGCAGTGACGGGCAAAGCTTTATTTTCATTTTTATGGTTTAAAGAAAACCGGAGTTGGAGAAGACGGGGGCAAGGTTGGAGTATAGGTCCGAATCTGTGTAAGTATGCAATTTTGGCTCAGGTAGAGGAGAGGCCCAAGGTTAGTACTTTAGGAGCGATTAGTGTGTCTTTAGTATCACTGTTGGCTTTGGCAAGGGTTGAATATTTGCGACAGCATGGTTAGTTGAATTAATGTTGAGACGTTTGAGTGTTTTCAGTGTGAATTTTATTTTCTACAGATGTCTTTGTTTCAGTGACTGATTGCCTCAACTGTTTCACTCCAGTCTGAGAGCTCACAGAATTTATAGTGGTTTGAAAAGTATCCTGAGACAACGCGATTTGACTAGCAATGCTTTGCTGTTCTACACTGATACTAGACATGTTAGCCATGACGTAACCAGAAGAGGAGAAAGCACTTCTCCCAGTCTTAGATGTTACAGAATGTGTTGTCCTTATAGGTGGACTTTTAATAGATCTATTGACTTGTATTGGCTTGGTGCGAGGGGTTGGTTCGTTTACAGTGTTTTTAGCAAGACATTGATCTGCAGAAGTCTCATAGGATCCATGTTCAGTAATAATTTTGGCAGTGTGTTTACTATCTACTTGTACATTTAAGTAATTTTTTGTTTGAGCAACATAGCCATGAACAGGATCTGCATGTATGGCTTGCTGTCGAATCTCAGTCCCGTCTGAACTCAGCTGAGGGCTTCTTTGTCTGACATGCCTCATTGTAGGGCTAGACGGCATGATAGTTTTACTGGCCTGCACAGAACTAAAAGATGGTTTATTAATCACTGCTCGGTCTGTAATAGGCAAACTACGTTCACTATGAAGCGTGTCAGCGACTTTGGTTTCAGTGGCAACA